TAATGCAATATCTAAATTCAAGAATCAATTTTGAGTTTTTCTATAGTTTATTGTTGCCTATTACTCCTCTCTGCCTATTTTGATGAAGGCCCAATCAAGAGCCCTCTGCATGAGCTAGCTTAAATGTCACCCAATAGGAAAGCTTTTAAGCTAGTTAGGGTCATAGAGCCACTGGTATGCCTGACTCAGCCAAAACATCTTCAAACTAGCTTTGAATTTAGTTTTATATCTCTTAGAATGGTTGCTGCCTTAAAGCAAGAGAGGTCAATTTGCCCCTACTATTTAACCCATAGCTATCTAAGATAGATTCATGCCCCTTTTTCAAAGGGCATTAGTGTGACTTGAACTCTGCATGTCTAATTTACTTTACTTTCTTCACCTATATCCATTACTGTATATGTGTCCCTACAGCCTATTTATCAAAGCATAATTGTTAAATTTAAAGTTTATTGAAATATCAAGTAGAGAGAATCCATTTTAACTTAAAGATGCAATATTCAAAAACGTTTGACTTGTGATTTGAGCTGCCAAAACAATATAGGAACTGTCTGGATATATAGCCTTCTCTATTGCACCAATAATTTTTGTTTGTTCTCCTAAACAAATGAAAGAACTCAGGAAATTGCAACAGTTGGAAAAGACATTGGTTTTAAATGAATTGGATGAAGAAAATATCAGATAATTAATGTAATTGCATTTAGAGATGCTTAGCAACAGTGACTTTCTTGATTTAGAAAATGAAATTCCTATGAAGTTACAGATAATGTGTTAAATAAACCGACTCTCATTTACTGGGGGGGGGGAATCTATCAAAATGAATTTAGAAAAATTTTTGTTCAACCAGTTGACACATAAGAACTACTCAGATGTAGAATGTAGAAGTCAAATTTGCTGACCTTTGATGGGAAATAAATTAATTACCCAGAGCTATTTTTTAATAAACTTGTAACCTTGGAAATTTGTTATCCATTACTATTAGATTAAAACAACATTTCTCAACTTCTTTCTTGCAGCTGATTTTTGGTGTCAAAAAGTAAATGTCAGTCCCACATAAGTGCAAATAATGGCCATGTTCTATTGTGCCGCATAATGTCAGTTCACTGTGTGATGGCAAAATGCATAATAGTAATTATTATTCATAAGAACAATGCCCAAGTTACTTTTGAAGCTGCGATTAGGGAGTCAGTTGTGTGGAATTTCTATCAAAGGAAATGACAGTTAACTTGGTAAGTTATATGAAAAATTGTCAGCACTAGATGCATCTGCAGAAAAAGGTGTGAAGGTGGAACTTTTTTTGTGGTTTGACTATAATGCAAAGCTATATTTCAGTCAAAAATGGCAAAAATATTGTGAAACCTTAATGTTGTTGGACATTTTCCCCCCACTGTTTACTGGATTACTGCCCCCGATGATAAAATCCCACTGCAGTGAGAATTTTTTTTTTTTTTTTTTTTTTTTGAATTATCACCCCTTGGTGATATTACAGGTGGCACAAGATTTGAAAGATTTGATCTCTTTCTCTGTAACTTTTCATAGTGAGAAGACCCATTCTTTTTGCTCCTGCAAATGTGAGTAATCAACTACAGAGACTTAAGGTTGATTTTGAACTTTTCACATTTCATTTTATTTCTAATCTTTTCTTTTGTAAAATGTCCTGTCACTATATTTGTTAATATTTCTTTGTTCAAATTCTGTGTCTTATTTTTTCCTTTGAACTTACTTGAGTACATCAAAATTGTTAGTGGGTTAAATATACCAAGAGTTTAAAACTTCTCATCAAAAGCATTTATATCCCAAACACCACCATCGTAAAATAGCTTCCCTTTGATATTTCTATAAATATTTTCATCATAATTGTTTTGATGCGCTACCCTCTTTGTTATCTAGACTTTATGGATTTAAGTGTATTACTAGATTGGCAGTTAGGTCTCATCATCTTACAGTTGAAATGTCTAGATGTAACCATAAGTTCTATGCTAATAGTTTCTTCTTTCACATTTCTCACTTGTGGAACTCTCTTCTGACTTCTTGCTTTCCAGTTAATTTTGATCTTCAGAAATTTAAATGCAATGTCAATCATTATTGTAACATGAGAGAAAATAGCTTACCTCCTGTGTCTTTTGTGTAATGTATCCCAAAAAGAAAATAGGAGGCTTTACGAGTTGTATATTTAAGAAACAATAGATCTCAGTTGGGTTTGTCTTGTAACACTATTTTTTTGCATCTATGCAAATTTGACCTGTCACTCAAGCCACAAAAATTGCTTGATGAGGCAGTGCGATTTTGGGTAGTGAACAGGAGACACGTGTGGTGAATTGTTTGGATGTGCAGCAGTTTAGTGAATGAAACAGAATAGGAAACTTTATTCCAAGCATGATGAAACTGACTACAAGCTATTCTGGCATTTAATACTCATGGAGCGAGTTCAGAGTTCAATGGTTTGTCCACTCGATTATCTGTTGTTGAGTGGATAGAGAAGGTAGAACTCATTTGTAGACTATTCAAAAGGGCCAGAAACAGTCATTCTTTTGAGGCTATTAGGGAAGCACCTATCTTGTGTACTAGCAGCATAAAGCGGAAAAAAAAAAACCCCAGACTTTACTGGGATTCAACTGGGTTTTTATATGACCTTTGGAATGGATTTGTTTGTGGCATATCAACAATTTATTGGACACCGACTATACCCTGGTGAAACGGCTGATGTTTACCAGGCCGATTTACAGAAATATTCTGTGCCGTTTGGGGGGCATCAATAACCAGATGCTGGGATTCGTCTTTGTAACAGAATTACTGGACAAGATCAGTTGGATTTTGTATGCAACATCCAGAATGGATGAACTATTGACTGACCAGCTATTGGCTCAAGCCCATGTCATTTTCAAAGAAGCAGAACTAGCAGCAGCAAGATCTAATGGCAGAGCAGTATCCCAATTAGAAATACATGCAGCAAGCAATTCCTATACCATTGACAAATGTTACAAATGTGGTGGTCTGAACCAATTTGCAAGAGAGTGCCAAAGTGGTATGGTAATAAGCAGGGTCATATTGTGTGGAATTGTTCAGGGGAAAATGGATCTGGTGACAAGGTATTGTTGCCAACCTTGTTCCCCTGTAAAAAAGTAAATATACCATTACCTGTAGTTGGCGTCCAGGTAAATGATGTACAGTGTTCAGAACTCATTGACACTGAATGTTCCTGGTCAGTAATTAGTGCCCATTGCTGTCGATCGTGGAGGCGGCAATGTGTAGATGTAACGATCAGTGTCCCATGCATGCTGTGGAGCTGGAGTTATGAATCTCACAGAACAAGATAATCATGCTGGTTGTGCAAGAGAAACTGCTTGGCTATGATCTGCTGCTTGGGATCGATTCTATACATGCATTAGTTGGCACAGTGCTTACACCAGCTGGAGATGTGCAGCTTGGCAGAAAGGAAGAATCATGTGCAGCAATTTACATTCATAAACTCGTGCTACTTTTGATCACAAAGAGAAAACCTGGACTACAAGGTGGAAGTGGATCATGGATAAAGTACCAATGCCATTCCAGAATACCATTCCAGAATATGCAGTATCAAGAAAGATCAGGGCTGCTTACAAAGAAGTTGCAAACAGGAACAATTAGAACATCCGAGGCCCCAAAAATGGGGCTCTAGTATTGGGCCTTCAAATCTGGAGGGTTTGGTTTGTTTTGTATTATGGCATATTAACCTCAATGTGTCATTTAATACCGACAACTTTTTTTTTTTTTTCTTTTTTTCCCTGGTAATATTTTTGTTTTGCCAAAAATCTATTTCTATTAAAATTTTTTTTCCTCAAAACTGTATAGCTGGTAATATTATTTTTTTCAAAACTGTATAGCTGGTAATATTATTTTTTTCAAAACTGTATAGCTGGTAATATTATTTTTTTCAAAACTGTATAGCTGGTAATATTATTTTTTTCAAAAATGTTCAGCTGGTAACACTATTCTTTCAAAAAAACATACAACTGGCAAAATTATTTTTTCAAAACGTATCATCAGAGGCCTTGCTGTTGGACGGGGTTTACCATCTTACCCAGGATGCGGATGTAGGTTACCATCTTACCCAGGACGTGGATGTAATCTGAGTGTTAACTATTTGCCCATAGCTGGGACCATAACCAGGGAACACCAGCAATTAAGAGATGGTTTCACACTCCTCAAAACCTCTTAATTAGAAGCCTTGCTGTTGGACATAGTTTATCATCTTACCCAGGACGCAGATGCAATTTATCGTCATACCTAGGACGGTCAAGTCTGGAGGAAGCATGGCGCTTTACAGTGGAAGTGAAGGAGTGCAGTTCTGGATCTCCCTGCCATACGCTGTAATGTCTTTTCAACTTGTGGGAAGTTGGTAGGACACTTTCCTGTCTGTGGGTGGCTTCGTACAGCATTTTTTCCATTTGGCATCCGCTGACCTGTCAAGATGCATCAACTGTCATATGACAGCTACAGGCAGTCTTTTGTGAACACGGTCCTCCTGTTGAGATATTGATGGACAATGCCCCGACTTTTTGTGGGCGAGAGTTTCAGGCCTTTGTAGATGAATGGGGAGTGAAGTTGCAATATTGATGTGTCTACATTCCAGAGAGTAATGGTATAGTAGAGTGATGTTACCCCAACGGATGACTCCTCACAGTCAACCTCACCAGCCAACGGAATTTATCTGTATGAACACCATGTGAACGTGATAGATGCATCACCACTATTTAACGGAGTAAATAAGTAGTATCAAGTGGGAGACAGTGTCTGAGTCAAGACCTCACTCAGCCGATGTACCAGCAGATTTGGTAAAGGGAAAGTTGATGGGATAGTGAGACCTCAAACGTTATTGGTTAATGGAACGCTGCATCACGTGAAAGACCTGTAACCACAGTACAAATTTTCTGCTTCAGAAGATGGTGGAAATAGCACATCATCTGACTCGGATACTCCATTGGTCTTAAGAACAGTGCCTGAAAGTCTGCCTGCAGGCCCAGATGATGATGATGATATCTGAAATGAGGGAGACCATAAGAACACAGAGGGTGAGAGATGCTGATAGAAATATCTCCTCCTTGTCTCTGAAGAAGCATTCAATGAATGTGACCTCCATCTCTCTGCTATGTATGTGATTATGAGATCAGGGTAGAGTGTAACATGAAAGAAAATAGCTTATCCCCTGGTAGAAAGTGAGTTTGAACATGTCTTGCATATAAAGTATCCCAAAAAGAAAGTGGTAACTTTACAAGTTGTATATTTAAGAAAGAATAGTTCTCAAAGTCAGGTTTGTCTTGTGAGACTATTTTTTTTGTGCCTATGCAAGTTAACCAGTCACTCAAGCTACAAAAATATTTGATGAAGCAACATCACTGTGTGATTTTGGGGGTAGTGAACAGGAGATGTGTGGTGGATTGTTTGGCTTGTGCGGTGCTGTTTGGTGAATGAAACAGATTAGGAAATTTTATTCCAAGCACAACAAAACTGACTACAGTTTATCTAGTGTCTTAATTCCTGTTCTTTTATTGTTCTCTCTCCTTAATACTGTTTTCATTTTCTTGTACCCTTTTTTTCTTGTAGCTTTTTTTTCTTGTATCTTTTTTCTTCTTGCAGCTTTCCTCGTACCTTTTTTTTTTTTTTTTTTTTTTTTTTTTTTTTCCTCCTCGTACCTTTTTTTTTCCTCCTCGTACCTTCACTCAGTAACCTCTTGTGTCTTAGTACCTTTATTGCTTTGTTTGAAGTGAAATGATTAAAAACAAACAATTCTCTGTATAACTCTGACAACAGATTCTGGATTCTTGAAATTGAAAGTGGTATGGAAAAATTAACATATTTTTTTTTTTTCTCAACCGAATTTGATGTGCGCAACTTGCACAAAAATAAACCAGAGACTTTCTTTTTTTCTTTACTCCTTGAATGAAAAGTGGATAAGACATTTGGAAAAATGTGTGACACTAAATAGTGATAATGTTGAAAAATAAACTTGAAAAAGTTGAAGAGAAATAAATGATGTTTTGTGATTGGAGACCTTATTTGTCAATAACCAAGCTTTGTAATTTTTTGAAAAGAAATAAATTCACTTAATTTCCTCATTCTATTTGGCCTAAAACTTTTTTTCTTTTTGGATAACTTATTCATAATTCTGAAGAGAAATTTTGTTCATTGTGGTTTCATAATTTCATCTGGTTTAAAATTTGTTTGAAAGAATTGGAAACCAACCTTAGTAGTAAATTATCTTAAATGAAAAAGAATTAACTCAGAAATGTTAAGGAATTTTCTCAGAGGTGGAGGTACAGTGTTTGATGGGCTAAAAATGTGCAATTTGAAGAAATCTTCTTGATTCATCATCATGACTTTATAAAAAAAAGTTTAATGATTGAATCTGATGTTTGTAATCCATTTAACATTTTCTTAATTTTTCATTTCAGCATTCAGAAAATGCTTTGCTCAAAGTCCGAACAATTGCAACACGCAGTGAGGCAGATATCATTCCAGGTAAAAATTAACAAGTTGCTGCTTTTATTATTATTATTTGCCTGACATGGAAGCATTTTACCAATTTCTGCATACATGATGTTCTCCAAGAATTTCCATTCTCTTGTATGTTAAGAGAATAAGACCTTTTTAGATTTAAAAAAAGAGGAATTTTCCAAAGTTTTCTTTCTTATAGTTAATGGGAATATTAGCCATGTCTTTATAAGGAAACATTCAGCATTCATTAACCAAAAAGCCAGTGCTATTTTCAGTTGAAATTTATAAAGTAATTAATTCTCTTAAAACAATTTTTCAGGAAAATAGTTTTCTCAAGTCCAGTTGCTGCTATTACTCTTTCCAGTATTGATGGGGGTTTCCTTCCTAACCTTTTATTTGAAATAGTGTGATATATCAACATCTTGATTATACCATTATTTTCTTTTTGAGTTATATGCACTATCCATTTTAGTTGTTGAAAGTGCTCAAGTAATATGGTTTCTGTTATTTGGTACAGCTCTTTAGTAAATGGACGGCTGTTGATTTTGTGTTCATTTGCCCTTTAACAGCTCTTGTTTTTTGCAATAAGCTATAGGACCCAGATTGTCCTGCTATTTAACCCATAGCTTGGGGGAGAAGACATGGATTCCTACCTTTCCCAAGGGTATTTGCATCTAAGTGAATGTAACAAACTTGACTGCAGCTTGAAAATGGCTCTCCGATTTCTCAGTCTGAGCCACTATCCATTCTTCTACTGTGTCGCCACCAAATTGTATATTATAATTCTGCTTGTCCTTCCACTTTGTTAGTTTAGTGGAAATGAAATGCAGATGGAGTAGCTAATTGCTATTGATAATAGTACCCCTCACACCCCACAACGTCGGTCAAAAAGATGATGTTTAGTGTGCTGTTTCTGCAAAAAGACAGTACATGGCTGTACTGCCAGGACAGTGTGAGCCCTGGAATGTTTGGTTAGGAAGAAAAAGTGTTTACTAGCTTCCACATGAGATAGTTGGGATGGTGAGCTGAGTGGTGTTAGCTATGCAAATGATTCCTTTGCTAGCCAACTGTTAAAGTTTTAGGCTTCATAAAAGCAGACATTTTCTGGGAAGAGGTAGTTTGGCAGTATGCTGCTGTAACACCCCTTGTGAGCTCCGTACAATTTCTCCGGCGGACGTTCTCCATGCTGTGATGTTGCCGGGGGTTGGTTGAAAAAGTCGAAGTCTCAAGCTGGGGGCACAAGATAAAGCATTGAAGGAACGAACTTCCACAACTTAGATGAGTTTAATCAATGCTTTATTTCGTTCAGGCTTAGTCTTGCCGTTGGGGTAGGCAATGTGACACTCAGCTCTAACTCTAACTAATGGAGATCAAATGCCGAACCGACCCGACTCAGACGAACGGAGTTTCACTTCTTCAGTGTGCCTGACACACGTGACTACTTCAAGCACACGCCCGGCTGAACTGCCCGGCTCGGAAAAATCACTCGTATTTATATTAAAATAATCGGAAGTCCCTAGGCCACCGGGTGAAAACAAAAGATAAGCATTGGCGACTGTAAGTTAAAAATTTCAAGGTACTTAAATTTTGCTTTCTTTGATGTGTAAAAATCCTGCGGATATCTTGTCTGTAATCGGCCTCCCACGATGTATTTTCCAGGATTTTTAAATCTTTTTATCTTAACAAATCTTCGTGTGAAGGCCGTCGGATGTTTTTATAGCACTTTTCTTTTTTTATTGCCTGGAGAAAGGGAAAATTCTGTTATCTTTTCTTTATTTCCTTAATGTGTTGTCGAGATACAGTAAAGACGGTTTTTTTGACCTGGTCATTTAAAATCTATTTCCTAAATGTTTATCTTTTATCACATCAAATCTCTTAGTCAAATATTTTATTGGAAGACTGGTAGGATTTAACAGTAATCTGATGCCCTTTTCTCTTCCACAAATTTACTTATAAAAAAAAAAAGCGTTTATTTATTTATTTTTCTTTTCTTTTTTTCCCTTAGTACTTTTGTTAAACGAAACACATGTTTTTAAACTATTTTTCTATTCTTAACCGTTTTCTATTCTTAATTTATTAAAATAAAATACATATTTTACAAATCAACTTTAATAGACACCTAGTTATCGTGTCACACTGCATTAACAACACAACACGATTACCGTGTGTTACTAAGGATTTTTTGTTTGTATTACCCAGCTTCATTTCACAGTCATTTGTCCTTATTTGTGTTTCTGGTGTCTCAGCTGTGTATGTGTGGTGTTCCCATGTGGAAGTCTTGTCATCATGATTCAGTGTTTGATTCCGGGGTTGCTGAATTTTCTGTCCCTCTTCGTTGGCCAATACTCCCCAACAATTAAGAAAAAATCCCATCAGTCAGTCAGTTAATTCTTACAGCTGTTAAGCTCTGTCAATAATGGATTATTCCAACTTGATTGTGTGGAAAGACGGAAAAGACATATAAGAAATGCTACTTGGTTTCAGTGAGAAAATGAAAGAAAGAAAGAAACATAGAAGTGTCTGTTTGTTTCAGTGAAATGGAAAAGTTTTCAATTTCTGATCTTTTCATTTGGACATTCTTACTACTTAAAATAATGGCCAGCATTCATATTTGCGATTGTTATTGCAATATTTTATTAAAGTTGTTAAGCTCAAATATTTAACTATGCAATAGGGAAATTTTTATAGATATTTTATTGTTGCAGAACATGGTATGAACTTCTTCAATCAATTTCAGTATTAAAAATAAGAAAATGGTGAAATTTTCATGAGTCATTCCAATAAAATATTTTTACGAGTGTACAATGGCCGAAACGTTGTAATAAATATGGTGACAAAGATGAAGACAATAGTCCGAATAATGTAAATAATGTACAGACCTAAATACTTCTGACCATATTTGGATCTCTAACATAATAGTATTGAATTCCATACTCCTGACAAAGTATTTCGTATTGTGAATAGAACATTGGGTTGGTAGCAGTGTTGTGTATATTTTGATCTGTATTGGTTCACTTTATTTGTAATGTAGTACCCCCTGAGGTTTGCCGCATCTGGCATCCCCTGGGGTTTGCCACATCTGGCATCCCCTGGGGTTTGCTGCATCTCCAGCCTCCTCATGATCCATGCAAGATTGAGACGTAGCAAACTAAATATCTTTGCATATTTAAATTGATCTCAAACTGTTTTAACATTTTCTTATTTTTATTTGAGGCTCTTCCAATGAAGACAGTTTTATGCCTAATTGAAACAGACTTTATCTAAAAGAACAGTCTGTTAAGAAATGTGCTTTGGCCTAAAATTACAAATGGAAACTGATGGAAAGAATTATAATCTCTTTTTAGAAAGAGAGAGAAAAAAAGAAGAAAAAAAAAAAGAAAAGCTGAACATAAGAATATTAATTCTGAAAGAGAAGAATGGCACTGAAAATATCGATACTGCTAGTTGATAAAATAAAAAGAAGAAAGAAAAACTTATTTGACCGATAAATGACAAACAAGAATATTTATAATTCAATGTGTTCACAGTGTGAACAACTCCTGACAAAAAAAAAAAACAAATGTTAACATGGTATACAGAAAGAGTATGTTTGTATTTAACTTCTATTGTTTGTTTTTTTGGCTGCCCCTAACCTAGGCTTCATCACCTCCAATGTTGGGCATGGGAGTTTATGTGGGGTTATAGTAGTTTAAACATCTGGGCATAATATGTAAGCAGTACAAATTTTTATTTGAGCTGGCTGTCTGTCAAACCAGAAACATTTTGCTCCCACTGAAGAGGTTTTAGCCAGGGGAAAGAATTCAGTCAAATGTATAAATCTTTTGTCTAATTTTTTTTGGTCACCTTGTATATTAACCCTGAGGAGACAACAGGCCTGATAATGCAAGCTTCAAGATTAGCTGGCTGGTCTTCATACCATCCAATTAGATTGCTTCTCACATTTCATGGACGTCTTCCTTTCAATGGTGGCTCCAATGATAGTTTGCTGTATTCTGTGAATTTACATAGGTTTATTCTGTGTTCCAAGTGAGGGTTTGTGAAATGTGCTCCATCTTCTTGGCACTGAAACTCCAATCGAGGCTTTGTCTCCAAAGTATAAGTGTCATGAGTTGGACAAAAATGACACGTGAAAATGGTAGCAAGAAATAAATATCATAAAGAATGAACAATATTGGTGCGGAGAGGTTTTAGGATAGAGTATCTTTTCAGGATGGTTTTTGCTAATGTAAATTTAAGGAATGTTCTTAAAAATGGTCCTTGCAAAAAGGAATGAATGTCGTTGAAATTTATTCTGTTAGTGAATAAAAGAGTAAGAAAGTATTTAGTCTATCATTTGTGTGACTTGGGAGTTCCTGGATTTAGGTCCTACTTCATCTGTGACATGGTATGAAAGAGGGTTGCTTCTTCTGTGTGTTGCATCCCTTCCGGACATAGGCGATAATGGCTCTCCACAACTTTCTATCTCTTGTGGGTCTTGCCAGTTTTTCTCACCTCTGTTCTGCCATACATTCACAAAAATCAGGTAAATGTCTCACTGTCATCTTTTTTTTTTTTTTTTTTTTTTTTTTTTTTTTCATTCCCCCATCCCATCCTATTTCCCCACTCTGCTTCTGTTACACTTCCTATTGTACACATATAAGCAAATAAAGTGTTAGGAAATTAATTAGTCTTTACTGCCTGACAAGACCTTAATGGTTGAAACCATTGTATCGTAAGTGGTTGATCATCCTATATTTTAATATTTAAAAACTCTGTATGATTGTTTTTTTTTTTTTTGGTGGGGGGGATTGTGTGAACTGAACAACTGTTTAACCATTTAATGCACACACATACATAGTGTGTGTGTGTGTGTGTGTGTGTGTGTGTGTGTGTGTGTGTGTAAGCGACACTCTTCTTAGAGTTTGCAATACTATACTGATCTTAAGTAGAAGAGCAAGCAAGTGGCACTTTGATCCAAGACAGAGTACACAGATAATGAGCTGATCCTAAGCACGGATTATCACCAGACCCAGACATAATGTATA